TTTTTCATTAGTAGAAGCATTCGTAAGTAGAGGTACCACTGTATAGAGAGGAGAGGGAGAGAAAGAAAGAGACAGAGAAAGAGAGAGCTAATATTGGTATCAGATGAATATTCTCTCTTGGGAAGGCACTCCAGCTTTGGGATATCACCAGAGAAGAGGCAGGGTAATGCCAAGATAAGATGGTAAGAAATATTGTATATCTGTTGATACTGCATGAATTATTTCTGTGTATATCTGGAATAGAAATCATGCAGCCCTTTGATTGTTGTTGGATTGCAACTCCCAGCACTCTCCACCATTGACTTGGTGAGGCTAAGGCTTGCATTCCAACAATATCTAAAGAGCCCCATAATTCCTAATCCTGAATTACATTGCTGTAATAACAATTAACATGTGCTGATTTTGTGTATATCTGTTTCCCTGTTTGTCTCTTGCATTTCCTCCTTTTGAATGGAGTGAGATGTATAAGTGGCCAACATAGACCAGGTGTTATTCAGCAGAAAGAGCAAAAAAAGGTCCCAAAATGCAACAAGACTGCTTTACCATAATTCAAAATGTATGAAGTGATACACACATTACCATCTAAAGAGGACAGGCCTATAAAGTGATTTCCATTCAAGCCATAAAATTACTTAACTGAAAAACTGCTCTGAAGAACAGTCCCAAGTACTCTATCAATGATTCTTCCATATCCTCCTTTGCACCCAGTTTTAAAATCTAGCCTTATCCTCTCCTGAACTTGCCTGAGTCTTTCTGAACAAAAATGTCATAAGCATCTAACTTTCACAAGTCTCTGGGATATATCATAGTGATGTCTTAATGCCTTGTAAATATGCAAAATATATTTTTAGTGTTCATCTGGACACGTCCCATGCTATTCATCCCTGCTCTAAAACCCATTGGTTTATAAGTATACAAGTTTCCACAAATTCTTTTTTTAAAAGTCTGCTTAGGGAATATTGGGGCAAAAATATTTATGGACAAGAAAATAATTGTTCATGCCAAGAAGAACCATCTGTACAGAATGTGAGAGAACATGCGTAATTTTTGACTCAAGGATTAACAGCAGGATATGTCTAAACACATATATACGTTTTGTTATTGATTCATAAAATGTTAGTGAAGCAAGACAGATTTTTTTAAAAAATATGCAAACACGCACTTTTTTGGAAGATACATTCGCAAATGGAGACTGAGTTAAGTTAAGGCCACTAGAGATGCATACTCTATAAACTGCTAGAGTGCTATCATGTATTTGAACACAGCTCTGTATGTCCCCAAACAGCCTTAACTCTAGAACCTAGACGTAATATTTTCTGCCTGGTTTGTATAGTAAATCAGGATACTGGCAGAAATTTGCAACACTCATTTCCTATTTTAATAGCCAATGAATCACTTCTGATTCTTCTTAGAAGACATTAGGAGGAACTTAGAAAGCTAATTTTTATAAAGCTAATGTGGTGAAGCATGAACATGCTGGACTTCAGCTGGGGAAATGCTGAAATCTCAGGAATAAAGCTGATGGGTAGGCAGCTCATTACCTTTCAGAACAACCTACCTCACAAGACTGAAAGAATAAAAAGAAGAATAAATATCAATATGTTGAACGTATAGTGGGCTCTCAGTATCTATTGGGGTTTGGTTCCAGGAACACCCCCCAAAGAAATCAAAATCCATGAATGCCTAAATCCCATTAAATAGAATGGGACAGTAAAAGGCTGTCCCTTATAGAAAATGGCAAAAATCAAAATTTGCTTTTTGGGATCTTTAAAAAGTATTTTCAAGTCATGAATGGCTGAACCCATGGATGCAGAATCCATGGATGCAGAGAGTCAACTGTACTTACAATGCACCATTGTAGCAGCTTTGTACTACAACTCCTAGAGTCCTCCAGATAGTAGAGTCACTAACCTGGATTGTGGAATTATTATCATTATTATTATTATTATTATTATTATTATTATTATTTATACCCCACCCCTCTGTTAAAAACAATTGAGGCAGCTTACCACAGTTAAAAATTACATCAAAAATTAGAGACTAAAAGCCCCCAAACCCCACCCTCCCCCTTTGAAAAAATTAAACTGCATATCTTCAAAATCAACATAAATCTCAAGAAGAATTAAGATAATTAAAACAATTTCAGACAAACAAAGCCGTGGGCAAGCCAGAAAACTAAAAGCGGTAGGGAGATGCAACTCCTGAGGTGGGAATCTAATCAGGAATAATCAGTCCAAAACATAACAGCTGAGATTCTGCATCAGGAGACCTACAAGTTTCACAGTTATGAAACAATGGCACACCTCCCTTCTGCCCTCCCGCTGGGATCATCTTCCTCCTGTACCACCACCACTATGGTAGTGGCTGCTGAAATGACAGAGATGGCTGAATGGTGCCTGGTTACTTGACTATAGCCAAAACATGATCCTGTCATCTTCCAGGACCTCCAGAGTGACAAAGTTTGCATGCAGTGGTTAGGAATTCTGACCAAGGAAAGACACTAAGTAAAGGCTTTATTATAGGAACTCCATTCTAAAGATAGGAAAGTTTCTCACGGTACTACATTCTAGGGAAGAGCTTACAGGACTTTGGGAAGGAGAAGAGGTGGAAACACCACTAAGAGCAATTAGTTTACATCACAAAGGGTACATGATAGGTAGAAGGAGGGAGGACACTTTGGGTCACTTAAATTTTTTAACTCTATTACTACTGCTCACTCTGAGGCATTCTTGACTCTTCAATGCTATGCATTCTTCAGTTGTTGCATTTCCAACACAGAACATGCTTTCATCATTGTGCATCTGGCTATAGTCACATAGACACGCACTTCTCAGCTTTCCTCTACTCTTCACCAGCCACTACATGGCCATGGAAGGGGGAGCAAGCATGAAAAAGCTGAGTTTTCAGAGAAGTTTTGTCATTGCATGGCATAAGTAGTGAATCCCAACCTCTGCAATGACAAATAAAGAAGAAGAAGGCATGCATAAGTTCGATGAAATATCTATGTTATGTCATGAGTATAATGCCAACCAATGTTCCCAAGCTCTTAAAGGCTCTTGTGGCATCTTAGAGGCCAACAAATGAAGGGTGGTGCCATATACAAAATGTT